ATAAGACTAAATGATAGAATGTAACGGAAATCTACCCCAGTCCTCCATTTATTTAAAACGATCTGCTTCCGATTTGTCGTCTTTCAGTCTCATCGATTTGCCATAATTTCACAGAAAGACAGGAAACCGTTTCTGATTTCCAACCTTTTTAAGACTTAATTATATTTCTTTGTAGGTAATTACGGAAGCCTGTAGTTATGGCTATTTACCTTAATGTCCATTAAATTAACTCCTTAGAAATCATATCTATTGACGTGGAAATTATAACAGAAATGATTCAACAAGACTGGTCTTCGGGAGGTATTTTTCAATTACCCCATGGCAGATCTTTTATGTAATAAACAGCTTTGAACGACTATAAGTAGAAATGTCAGACAGTTCGCAGTTTCGTACAACTGTAGAAGGTTCAGTTGTATTAGATGTGTTACGAAACTTTACAATATATATTGTACAAAACCTTAGTCCTGGGATGTCCTAGGTTCTTAACATCTAATACTTGTTTTAGGATATCTTAGCTCTAAGATCGTTTCGAGAATACGTACCCAGAAGACTATTTACACAACAATAATATTGTCAACTGGGTTACAAAGCCTTTAACTTGGTAACAGAGATATACTATGATCATAATTATTGTTATACAGATATAACATGATCATATTGTTATACAAATATTACAGTATCACCTATGTTACGAAGATATACCATGTTTAACTGGGTTACACGGATATAACATGATTAACTGGGTTACAAAGTCATTGACTAGGTAACACAGATATAACATGATCACCTTGATTAGACAGCCTTTAACTTGGTACCACATATAAACGATGAGCATATTGTTATTCAGATATAATATGATCACCTCACCTATGTTACAGATATAACATGATTAACTGGGTTACAAAGTCATTGACTAGGTAACACAGATATAACATGATCACCTTGATTAGACAGCCTTTAACTTGGTAGCACATATAAACGATGAGCATATGGTTATTATGATATAATATGATCACCTCACCTATGTTACAGATATAACATGATTAACTGGGTTACAAAGTCATTGACTAGGTAACACAGATATAACATGATCACCTTGATTAGACAGCCTTTAACTTGGTAGCACATATAAACGATGAGCATATTGTTATTATGATATAATATGATCACCTCACCTATGTTACAGATATAACATGATTAACTGGGTTACAAAGTCATTGACTAGGTAACACAGATATAACATGATCACCTTGATTAGACAGCCTTTAACTTGGTAGCACATATAAACGATGAGCATATTGTTATTATGATATAATATGATCACCTCACCTATGTTACAGATATAACATGATTAACTGGGTTACAAAGTGATGGAAAGGATACTGATCAACTATTTAACACTGATATAACATGATTACATATATGACACTATCACATAGGTTACACAGATATAACATGATCAACTATGTTACAGAATGATTAAGTAGGTAACACTAGGTTAGTTATAACATGATCAGCAAGGTTACACAGAGAAAACATGATATAACATGGGTTACATGACAAAGCGATTAACCGGGCAATGATCAACTAGGTTACACAGATATAACATGGTCAACTAATTTACATAGCGATTAACTAAGTAACACTAAGCATACACAGATATAACATAGTCACCTAGGTTACACAGATATAACATAATCAACAGGGTTTCACAGATATGACATGATCATCTAGGTTATACTTATAAACATGATCAGCTATGCTCAGAGATAAAGCAAGATAATTAGGCTATCAGGGGGTAACATAACTGGGTAAGTTACAATGTGATCAACAAAACGTTACAAAGATTACAAAGAAAAACCTAATCAGCAACGTTTACAAAGAGAAACACATAATCAGCAAGTTTACAAAGCATTACCATGATTGGCTAAAAGGTTATAACATGGATTAGCAACGTACAATTAAGCACAATTCCCTACATTATCGTAGTTACGTTTCAAGTATATTACCGAACAATACAAAATATGTTGTTCGAATCTTCTTTTCATGTAGCTTAAATGAGTCAGAAGAAATTAAATTCAACATTTAGAGTTGTACGATTTTGTAATACAAGTAACATGCAGGTAAAATGTAGAATTTAATAACACGGAAATATCAGGGCGGTTCTCAGTCTGGAAATTTACAGGTATTCCACGAGAAATGTCAAAATGCCATTATTCACCTTGATTTATGATTCTTCAAATTTTAAATTGAAGTTTCAGATCATAAAGTCTTCGATTTCTGACACGTCTGATCATTCAGGCGATCGCACGAAAGAATTTTGCTTAATTTCCTGTCGTTTGATGGGAATTGTTGTCTTTAATGGCGAGTGCAGACCGTGGCGATTTCCGAGTCATTACACCGGCTCGTCTTTCTACAAAGACAATTTACCTGACAGAAAAACTTTAACGAGAAAATATCACGTTTAAAAAATCGAGCCTTTCAGAACATTATACAAAATTTGAAACAATGGGCGCGAGACACGGAACGCAAATATAGAAGGAAAAGATAATGATATCTTTATGATTATGGAAATTACTTTTGTGATTGTAAAGCCGACGCCTGATGCGATTTGAGACAAAAACCAATCAATACATTTTACCTGCTTCAAAGATTAATTGTTGTCACATCAAGACACAGTTTTCGCATTTTTTTCATTTGATTATTGCTTTGCATTAGTCAACGACGTTTTCAACGAGTAACTGGACACCTTAATGCACAATAAGATACCTAACCTTAAAATGTGAAACAATATTGTTGTCATTTTACATTGAAAAGCAATCATAATGGTGGTCTGTGTTTTGTCATCAATCAAAGAAAATATCACTATGTTTTTTACACCTTTAATTAAAAGATTTGTGATATGAGAGTTTGTCGTATAGACAATACGTTTCTGATCTCAGATTACATTGAGTCTCTACATTCTGCCGATAATCATCGTCTACGATCAGGTTTCATCCACTATAATGAAATAAGTGCAATAAATAATATTTTCGAATCACATTTAATTCTTATGATAATATTAAAGTAATGTTTAGAAATCGTGTTATTTTATATGGATCTCTTGATGTATTGAGGTCTAGCGAGGAAGTTTCTGAGTGCTCTTCTTATTTTCTGAATAAGCTAAGAAATAAACGGTACAGACTATTTGTGACTCCGTTAAAGGGACTCTTCCTTAATGGATCATTAATGACTTCGAACGACACTGACAACAACTAGAAGAATCTGATCAATGGCCTGGTTTAGTCGCAGTTGCCCGAATTCTGCTTTTGCCAAAGAAAAAAAAGGAAACATTGAATCTGGTTGGATTCCGGCGGTCGTAATGCGCGATCCTCCGGTTCACGACAGACTGACGCTAGTATAAATTCGGTTAATTAATAAGCTCACATCAATTTAACAAGTTTCATAGCACACACATCAGAGAACATCTTTTCCCCCTTTTGTTGATAGCTTTTCCCCTTTTTTTATTCCCCCCCCTCTTTCCTCATTTTCTTTTTTTTTCTTTTTTTTCAGGTTTTCCAACAGTAATTAGATAATCTAACCAAACCAAACCAACAACTACCATTCGACTACCAATCAACAAGAAATACCATGATCGGAACGAGTTTGGAAGAATGAAGGAGATCGATTAACTCACGCCACACCATCCAGGGCCTGACCAGATCTAACGAAGATTCAACAATTAAACCAACAACACGGAATCGTCCAATTTGAACCAATCCAACTACCAACTACTACGACTACCAACAATTACCTAGTTTGCGATATCAGTATGAGCTAGAAGCGAACGTTAACTTGTCATCTGCCTACCTACCTACCTAAGCTCTTTGACAGATCCGATATGATGCTATGAATTGCTAGTCCCATGCCCTGTTATAAAGACAGATATATCATTGTTAAGAAAACAACCCATGCCAATCCAAGTGTACTTTTTAAGAGAATTCTTTAACAGATTGTGACGCAAATACCATCAAAGCTAAAATGAACTAAAAAACTAAGAAATATTCAAGAAACCATCCCCAATTTCGATTCGATTATCAATCATGTTTCCAATTTTGATTGATTCAATGGGCCTACAATTAATATGGCAATGTAAATACATCAATAGACAAATGTCTTTTTAGAAATATCTCTGAAGTATTCTCTCTATCATTCTATCATTCCTTTATCTGGATTCCATGTTTCATGAAATTCCCCGAGGTCCCGACAAAAACTTTCAGCTAAACGAAGAAAGAAAAGCAATCTTGCTATCTTTGTGAAGTAAATCAACTTATAAACCATTAGAGTTTTACAATGAAATTATCTCTTTATCTTCCAATCTCTTTATATGTAGTTTTTCATAAAGACAGTGGGGAGTATTTTTTTTGAGGACGTTGTAATTTGGTTATGAATTTCAGTTTTGATAAGCAAGATAATGGTCAAGGCGTAGCAAGCGGAATGCCGCGACTTGATAAGATTATACCCATGCCAATACAGCCAATCATAGCTCTCGACAGAAAGACTGTAATATTATTGTCTAATGTTAACAGGCTTTCTATCGATGACTCGATAGGTTGTATTCATTACAATCAAATGGCTGTTTTTACAAACTTCCTTCATTCAAGAAGGTGGTTATTGCAGTCAATGTATAAGACGAGGTTTGTAATAGCTTGAAGATGACAAAACAGATGCAGTACCCATTCTTCAACTGACTTGACCCGTAAGTGCAATTCTTTGAATAAGTCCAGTTTTAAATAAGACATGTCAAAGGTCATGATGACTTGCGATGAATTACAACCATTTGTGCAATGAAGTTGATTCAACAGTCTTATAAGATACATTCAAGTTGACTCTTGAGGTAGATGAGGCCAATTACAATATTACTTTTAAAAGAGTCTAGTTACAATAATATTCTTGATATTGGGTTTAATTAAAATATTCCTTTTGAATATAGTCGAATTACAGTTATACTTTTTATATTTGGTCCAGTAGCAATAATACCTTTGATAGTTGGTCAATTTACAATAATACTTTTGATAGTGGGTCCAATTACAGTAACATTTTTGATAGTGGGTCCAATTACAATAATACTTTTGATAGTGGGCCCAATTACAATAACACTTTTGATAGTGGGTCCAATTACAGTAACATTTTTGATAGTGGGTCCAATTACAATAATACTTTTGATAGTGGGTCCAATTACAATAACACTTTTGATAGTGGGTCCAATTACAGTAACATTTTTGATAGTGGGTCCAATTACAATAATACTTTTGATAGTGGGCCCAATTACAATAACATTTTTGATAGTGGGTCCAATTACAATAATGCTTTTGATAGTGGGTCCAATTACAACTTTTGAAATAGGGTAGAATTACGAAATTACTTTTTAATGGAGTTAATTACAATATGACTTAATTAACAGTGTCGAATTACAATATCAATTAATTATAGGGTCAAATTGCAATATTTCTCTATTATTGAGTCGAATAACTTTGAAATGTGGTCATATTACAACCACTTTTGAATAGGGTCAAATTACGATATTACTTATCAATGGAGTCAAATACAATGTCTCTTAAGAAATAGTGTCAAATTACAATATCGATTTATGAATGGTGTCAAATTACAATATTACTTTTAACATTGGATCGAATTACAATATCACTTAAGAAATAGTGTCAAATTACAATATTACTTTTGATATTGGATCAAATTACAATATATTACTTTTGATATTGGGTTGAATTACAACATTACTTTTGATATTGGGTTGAATTACAATATTACTTTTGATATTGGGTTGAATTACAATATTACTTTTGATATTGGGTTGAATTACAATATTACTTTTAAAGACATGGTTTCGAATTACAGGATTACTTTTCAATGTCGGCCAAATTAAGCTTAAACTTTTGATAGGGAGTCAAATAACAATATTTTATATATATAATGTTCTATTTTGTACTATAGAGATCGAAATTGATTGAAATAACTTTTGCCAATATTTCTTCAATGTAACGTCATATAATCGAAATATGTTCATTTCCTTTCTATAGTCTGGACACAATCTCATTCAAAACCTGTTTCGTCATCGTCATCGATAAAAAAAAAATAATTCTACTCCATCATCTTCTGAAATTTTTCATTTGAAACAAAAGAAATTACGTCGTCCTCAACCGTCGACAGAAAATCACTGGCTCAATTAATGGGCTATAACAAAATTACGGATCAGACTTGGGTTCCTTGGCTGTTTGATTCAGACAATAATTACACGATTTAATCTTTTTAAAAAGAACAGCTTGACAACCAAATTAATTACAACAAGAAACTAAACATTGCCTCCGGTTTATTACTTGATAATCGAGAGACGATTAAAAAGAACGATAACTACTACTTGAGTTCCTGTAGCCAATCGGCGTTCAAAACGATCTCCGTATAATTTACCGTAATGGAATAAAGTCATTTGATATAAAGACGGGGATATTAAAAATCGCAGGGGAAGAAGTGATGCGATGCTATCTTGGCATGAGATAAGCCTATGGCCGACTGTCTGATGGAAAAAATAAACCTTCGCCTCACGCAAATATGCTATTATTGTCATAAAAGAAACTCTAATTGTCTGAAAGGCCTTTAGACAAAGTAAGGGTTTGTAAGATTGAAAACGGTCCAATCCTGTGATTATGTTGACTTGTTGACAGCTATGATATCTTTCAGGGATAATTTCTATCTTTTGATGAGATATTGAGAAATGGGTTTGGTTTATAGACTGATCTAAATACTACTATTATTTATATTAGAGTGGCTTTTAATTCCGAAAGATATCATGCTCACACAAGAACTTTGATTGATGACGTAATTTTCGGTTGAGTAGAAACTTTCCTGTCAAAGTTACTAAAATTCATGGATGGCGTAGTTTTCAATTAAAGGTAACATTCATACCTGTTTTCTAACAGGGTCATTGTAAGCGTCTGTAGGAACAGGCACGAGCCCATGGGAACTCAGGCTTCATCGGTATGTGGTAGAGTTTTGTTGAGTAGCGTAGGATGGGGAGGGTTCATTGATGGCACTGGCACGATGTAAGTTTTTCAAAAGTGAGTCATAAAGCACTCCCTTATCCCACCGGCATAATTCGTCTAAAGGGGTTGGGTCATAATGAATGTCGTTTTACTTTGGGGTCACACGCCATTGAACTGTGTCTGGTATAGCTACCAAAATAGCCTTAAATATGAGGTCGTTAAGTATAATTTTATAGAGATGAGACAGACTGAAGATTTATCATAATGTCATCAACATCTTGTGTTCAAACTCCGGACAATTAAAGGAAAATTCAATTTAGAGAAATTGTCAATTAATCTAACCAAATCAACGTTGATAACATAATTATTAAGAGGCTGGTTTCAGGCCTTGTCAGTTCATATTCCATGTCAAAAACTGATATTTATTTCTTTTGACGTCAAAGAATTAAAAACAGCCGGACTTGAAACTGTCGGCTGGAAATGAACAAAGCACGGAATGAGATCATAATCAATTTAAACTAAAATCATTCGACACTGATTCATAATAGCCTTCTTTTTCCTTATGTGATTATCTCCACTTGACACGTGGGCAGCGCGAACAGAGGTGGCGCTATGAAACACGTGTGGGCTGTCTGAAGAAATATGATGGACGGCTACGTCTGATCTTAATCGCCTTGTGAATGCTAGCATGATCCCATGATCACTTTTTCCTGGAGCATCAAGCTAAATACATTAAGAATAGTATCTCTTACGACCCCTGTTGTTTCTAATATTCCGCTATTAAAACTCTATAGGACGTCTAAGAAGATATTGACAGCGCTACGATTGAAGTAAATTTCGTTGATCTGTTAATAATATGATTATTCTTCAATAGTTGTCTAGTTAATGGAAGCCTTTGGTTAACCGATATTTTCTCTTATTAAATCACTTTAGATTCAAACAATTAAACTGTCTCCAAATAAAACTCCTTTCATTATCGTATTTTTTGTAAACAATGGGATTATTAGAGGTTAAATCAGATGAAATAAATAGTCACAGTGATCTGATATATAATATTATTGAGCTTAAACGAAACTTGGTGAAACTAAGGTTTTCCCTTTTGACACTTGGTGTAAATTCAGGAAAAGTAGACAAGTTATCTCCTTGTATCTATGCATTCGATGGCAGAGGGAATGTTTTGTATTTTGATTTATTATTTTTACCCAATAGTCAAGCAACAAGCTTTTTGATGTATATTTTAGATGGAGCATTCTTCATAATGAAAGTTGGTTGGGGTTGGTTGGCGATGAGTTGTTGTGACAGAACGAAAAGTTGGATAACATGTAACTATTACCGAAAGAAGAGGTGGTAAACGAGTCTACAATACGATAAACATGTCTATTACATAACGAAATGAAATGAAATGAATGGAGTTTTACGCCCTACTTTTCTGCATATCATATCACGAGATGGGTAGCTTTTAAAAAAAATCCACCACATAACGAGATGGGTAACATTCTAAATAAGTCCATCACATAACGAGATGGGTAACTTTTTAAAAAAAAGTCCACCACATAACGAGATGGGTAACTTTAAAAAAAAGTCTAACCTTTAAACAAGTGAGGTCATGCTAAACCTGCAGATAGATTTATCTACCATGTTACTTCCTGACGTGAATGAAGACGAACAAAGAAGACACTTTTGCCAGGACAACGACTCAAGCCTTTTCGATTTCTATCTATCGAGGTACCTTTAACGTACATGGTCTCCGAGCGACCTGACACTTTTCCATGCCAATCCGAAACCTATTTGACTTAAACCTTCTTTATAACTTTCTGATCATTGATTACATCATAATAGAATGGGTGCCATAAAATTGAAAAGAAAAACCTATACGTAACTAGAATAAAAACCATATCAAAAGTCACTTTGCGCAATAATATTAGAATGACTAGTGATTAGACATCTAATTTAACATCGGATATTAATTTCATCAAGCATAGCTTATTCGTAGTACAAGGGAGGTAATGTACCATTTAATCTCAATTGTGAGAACTTAAATCAGACAACAACTAATTCTCCAGATCTCCATCGGAAAAACACGTCAAAAAGATGCCTAATCCATGCAAATTGAGGATTAATAAACTGTATCCTTTCCGGAATGATTTTTTATCTGCTTTGAATTCGCTTACCACCTCCGATGGAAGCAATTAGGATGTTCGATTCCGGAAGGAAGGGTCTTGTGTAAACATTGTAGTCTCAAATTAGCGTGAATGAGCCTTTTCGGGCTATATCAAAACTGAGTAAAGGGCAGGTCGAATTTGTCTTTTATTATGTCTTATTATGTCATATTATTCAATGAAATTAACTTACCTATTCTCTCAGAACCCTGCAGCATTTCAAATTCATTCAAACTTTCTTTCGAACATTTCTTCAAAATTTTTCATACCAAAAGTTCTTGGGAGGTAAATTTAGTCTGTGTGACGTAATATCCTATAAGAGTTATGTCCCTTTTATCATATGAGCTGTTGAAATACATGTGCTTTATTTAACATTTCCGTTGACCTAATTTCGTTGAATTGAAATCTCACTTAGTTTCAATGACCATGTTTAAATAAAACCTCTTCTCTGTCCAACAGTGAGTCATTTGAAATGGAAATCCAAGAATTCAAGATGTTTGTGCAGTTGAAAATCGTAATAATTTCGCCTTCAAAAATTGTTTAAAACATGGATGTGAGGCCATTTTTGACGTATCTCGAATAACCTTTTACGAAGCATGCTTTTGTGTAAAGATAAGTAAAACTTGGCTTACTGTCGAAAGACATTTCACTTGAATATTATGTGGTAACAATCCATAAGGCCATGGTCACCAATCTTATGTTAAGGAATAAGATACAGCCACATAATTATCAAAAAATGAAATTTATTAATAAAAAGAAACATAACAATATTAAAACAATATGAAGAGATATTTCAAGTATCAAGAAGAATAATTTAGACTAGAATAATAGACCTATCAGAGCCTTACTATCGATATTTTTCATCCAACGGCGTAAAAACAATTCTTGATCAAAGCTATCAAGGCAATTACTATCAGACGAAATAAAAGTGAAGCCAAAAGAGTCTCATTATTCAAGTCTATTTTCCTCAATTCACAAACTTCAAATTTTATAACCTACATTATCCAGACTTACAAATTGGATTATATTTGGTTATTCTGTCGCCTAAACTTTTGGAACGTTTTCCGAGTGATGTATTTCAGCGAATCAAACTCACTGCTGTGAATTAAGTTAGCTATGTACATTCATCGCGGTCACAGGTATAAAATGACAAACCCTTTCTTAATAGGCTAAATAGGAACTCGATATATACAACCTTTTTGATGTGAATAAATAGTAACTATATACATAAAGAATAATTTGGTTCCAACACATATTAAAAGTTGTCCTGTCCTCTCCCTTTATCTAAAGAAAGAACATGAACTTGATCACACAGCCACGTTTAAGTTGACAGCAAAATTCATAAAATTATTTAATTATTTAATATTATTTTCTTTGCAGAATTCCTATTCATTATAAACAACATAAATATTTTCCCCTGTGTAGTCGGTTAACGAAACCATTCCTATTTGTTCCTTAGTAAGCCTAAACCATGTATAATTCGAATTCTTTGTGCACCATTAACCAGAAAATTCATAGTTTTCTTCCCATAAACCGGAACATTCATAGTTTTCTTTCCATCAACTAGAACAATCCATTAACCAAATCTTTCATAGTTTTCTTTTCATCAACCAGATCATTCATTGTTTTCTTTTCACCAACCAGATCATTCATTAACCAGATCATTCATTGTTTTCTTTCCATTAACCAAAACATCTATGATTTTCTTCCCTTACCAGATTATTCACAGTTTTCTTTCCATTAACCAGAACATATAGTTTACCAGAACATTCATAGTTTTCTTTCCATTAACCAGAACATAGTTTACCAGAACATAGTTTACCAGAATATTCATAGTTTTCTTTTCATGAATAGAAAATTCTCAGTATTTTTTCATTAATTTAACCATAACATTGAGTTTTCTTTCGACTATTCACACACAACCGTGAATTATTACTAATGTCTTTTCATGAAAACTGCTCATTTGGTCACATCTAAACAGTGCTTATTGCCATCGCAATTCACAGAAAAACCCTCCGATAAAATACATTGTCAACATCGAATAAACAATGAAAAAAACAAGGCACAAAACTAGTGTCCAGTCTAAAACTTTTAACAGCAGATTTGCGATTTCAAACAAAATTTCACATCCTGCATCACAGACTAGTTCGCACATACTCCGTATCATAGTCAAATACACTGTCAATGACGCCATTCCCGTTTACGTCAGGTACCATGTGGCCATTCGAAACGATTTCTATTTCTTCAAAAGGTGTATGACCGTTTTGTTTTCTGACAGAACTGTATATTTCACTTCGCACATGCCCATTTTGAATTCCATTGTGAATTCCATTTTCAACAGGCTTATGCGCATGACCGTTTTGAAGTTCCTTTGGCTTTTGAACAACGTTCTCTCGTCTGGAACTAGACGTCCGACATTTACAGAAACGAAGCATACATCGTTCGATAACAAGAGCTATGGCGGCCAAGAATAGTCCGACACCTATTAAATAAAAACTACTCTGAACGTCAACAAGGTCGATAGGTTTGGCTTCAGTTTGTAACGGTCCTCTACAAAATTTCTTTTGCTTCCACCATTGTCGCTGCCAGATTTGAAGCAAACCACTCTCATAAATAGCCATCATTCTTGAAATAGAAATACCAAAAATATCTTTTAGCCTAAGTAACGAATGTCAAAAGCTAAAAGAATGAAAGCAGCCAACTTAAAGCGATTCAAAAGGGGCTATTTTCATTTGTACCATTCGGATTTCCTGTCCGAAGCTTATATTATGTCCTGCAATTTCGGAAAATCGTGACCAATCAAGCCTATTCACGATTCAAGCTATAGAGTATTTGAGATAATGACGTCATAATTGTAATATCAACATATAATAATGACCTATGGACTTTAAATACAACGTCAGAATCGTTCTTTTGGTAGTTATAACTAAAAACAACTTACTCTTTAGAAAAGATTTCAGTGTAGGCTGATCCATTTTGAAGTGCCAGAGCATAGTTAATGGGGGAAATTTTCTCTGGTAATAAATACAAATCACAGTCTGTTAGTACTCGCTTCTGGAGACCACCTCTATCAGATATGTACCCATAATCACCAACGTTTACTTTTGCTAAATGTACCTCATGGTCGAGACTTAATGCGTCTGGATCGGCAGTTTCGAGTATCCCTTTCCAAGCTTTTTGGAAAACAGGAATTTTCGAATTCTTTAAATAGAAAACATAGTACCATTGGTAACGTTCCATAACATCAACATTTGAAGAAAAAAAAACAACCATTAGGCCTTATCAGTCGATCAAACATTTTCGTCTATGCTGTTGCATCAAAATAAATGAGCTTTACGGTCCTGTCTTTAACTTGGATTAAAAGATGGGATTAACTTCTAATGTATTTATTTATCTAATTGTACTTTTGCGTAAAGATGGGTTTCCTTATTTTTTAATGTCAAATTAATTACTATTTGATTAATTAGTGTTTCTAATGAATTATCATGTATTCTTAATCATATCCATATGTTCTTATTGCATGTCATTAAAAGTATGTATGTACGGTCTGGATAAACAAAAAAGACTTTTTGACCTTTCTTGATCGGTCACTCATTGAAATTCTGCTGGTAATTCTTTTCTAATTTAGCTAATTATGAATAAATTATAGACATGTGAAACAAATTGGTATTTTCCAAGTCATTAGAACACTTCTACTTTCTATTCATATAAGTATTAGCATTTTCATTTCCATATATGAAAATAAGGGAACCAATCTTTAAGTGTATTCATGCCAGACTTTGTTGTTGAAAGGGGTAAGTAATATATGTGTAGGGGCAATGGCGTATAGTATCTTGTGGTAGAAATAGAATTGGTGGGCTGTCAAAATTTTTTCAGGGGGAAATCCATTCTTTCTTGGCGGCCTGGTTCCAACGCCAAAGGGAGCTGAGGCCACTCAACAACTTGGTTTTCACATGCAGAACGTGCCTACCTCAAACTCCATCTGATTGTTAGATCCTCCCAATAAACCCCATGTATAATCTCCATTATCAATCAGTTGATCCAGCGTCTCAAACGGTGCAGTATCTTTAGTTACAGTCAGGAAGGCAATGAGGTTTCCACTGTACGTAGCAGCCATTATAATAGAAAATAACCACCAGGTACTTATCATTGTTCGACCTGCTTGAGAATCTGGTAAATGCTCTCCTCCTGAAATAGACAAGATTGTTCCATTATACACATTTAAAGGGATATGATCATTAAATATTTTCTCATTTGGTTTCTTAAGATAGAGGCCAGCCATGATGACATCATAAGTCATAGCAATGACGGCCATTAATCTTTAAAATCACTTCAATGTGTGATCCCACCGCAGCTTTTCATTCTAAAAATTTACATGGATGGCTAAAAATCGTGTTCTACCATCTGGAAAATCAACTATTTAGATAACTTCATCCGGAACTAAACAATCATTAATAAACAAACACTTTAAAGAGAAATGTACCAGAAACAATAATATTACAGAAATCAGCTGACCTAATGATCGAGATTTTTCTTCTGAAAATGACATATTAATCGAGACAATAAACTACTCAAGAGTGTAAAACATATAACATAAAAGTTAATTACCTTGCGTTAACATGGCGCCAAACATATACCAAAAGGCATCTTGAAATATATGGGTTCCTGCATATCGATTTAAATAAGGCTCTCGTTGGTAAAATGGGTTCCACTTTTCCAGAAGAAAAAGAATCACCGAGGCACCCACTAATGAGATGCCGATACAAAGCAAAACTTCCCATCGAAACGGGTCAATCATTGTCCGCCATTTTGTGAGGCTAGGGTCCGGTTTTTTAATCAACACAGATAAAAAATCATGATAGAATGGAAAAGTAAAATCCATAACTTTTTCTCTTGCTATAATAGTTGTTAAAGGTCCTGCTACCAAATCTACCTCCTAGAAAGGAAGAAAGTCTCACATAAATTGTATTAGGAAAGGAGTCTTGAGTAAGTTGTACTGACAAATTCACTCACAAAATGGCATCAAGTGTTCAGAATGATTGGTATGTTTGTGCCTCAGTCACAAAGTTGGATCAATTGTACAGAACGATTGGTATATCTATGCCTCAGTCACAAAGTTGGATCAAGTGTTCAGAATGATTGGTATGTCTATGCCTCAGTCAGAGAGTGGCATCAAGTGTTAAGAATGATTGGTATGTTTGTGCCTCAGTCAGAGAGTGGTATAGGGAGTGGTATCAAGTGTCCAGAATGATTGGTATGTATATGCCTCCATCAGAAAGTGACATCAAGTGTCCAGAATGACACTGGCTACAAGATAGCCTTTTCTAACCAGAATAAACGTGAATTATTATAACAGAAAACTGACCTCTCTCTGAAGCATACCGATAAGTCCAGACCAGGTACCATTACCATTATCTACTCCCCATTCATTATCAGGAGAACCCCCTGTCATATTTATACTGAAAATATATCAACTCTCTTAATTTCATTGAAATTGCTTTCTGTATATTTTTGCAAAATCGTCCATGTTATAATAACAAGGCTGAAGACTGTTCGTTGCCAGGACAATTAATCCTCACTGATCCCAAGTAACCGCTGGAACTGGTTCAACCCCAGAATAACAATCGTCCGTCTCATCTAGGTCACAAGTTTCAAATCGACTAAACAGGGCATCTAAAATATTTTGTGTGTGGTTATTCCGTTAAGGACATTCCGTTTACACTTATGCTTATGCAACAAAGAAAAAAATCCCGAAATCCTATTTACATATACTTACGTAAAGTTCATAGCCATAGCCAATTCTGATATGATATCCATACAATAACCTTCATAAGGATAGGTAAAAGTTGTATTAGGCATGGATTCATTTCGTATCACAAATGGTTCATACTGGAAAAAGATAAATAGAAAAATTGTGAATATGAAGATTTAAGAGATGTAACGGATATTCTGACTTTATGTGTAGGCCTATTGAAGATCATTTAAAATGCCTTTACTTTAAAGAGGTCTCTAAAATATTTATGTGTATTGGGGACAATGATGGCATCAATTTGACTCATTATTAGTTAATAACTGAAAAGCACATTGATTTAATTGCATAGTACGTCGAAATTGCAATTATATTTGCAAAAGTCAGTCACAATTTACTGGAGTCAGTCACAATTTCATTTGAGAATAACTCTAGGTCTCTGTGAAGATATTTTGAGCATGATACTTACAGGCAATGTTGCAACTGTCAACAGGCGTTTATTCATACCATAATATATATTAGGAAATATATCAAAGTCTAAAATGACGTCACCAGAAATATTTACAAAACCGACATGATTCAGTTGTCTTCCTCCTGGTTTCCATAACAACGTATAAATATCACTATGCCAACACATCAAAGGATGTGTAAAATACTGCAATTAAGAACCTCAAATCAATATGCATTGTATTTATAAATATATCCAAAACAAATACTGCTTAATAACATTCATATTTTTTAACGTACATAACCAGAACTGTATGTTTATGGCAAAGGTTCAACATACGACATCAGCGAGGTTTCTATGAACCCTTGAGGGGCTCAATAGGGACCACAGAATTGTCAAGGGCGTTCACTAAACATTTCGCTATTTTCGGTGGTCGTTTTAGGTTTTGAATATGTGTAAATAGTCTCCAGAAGTACTAGAACTGCACGAAAATCGCAAAATCCCTTCAAATATAACTAGAAGATTCACATTCTATTTCTATAAATGGTTTTGTATATATGGCAGAGTCTCAAACAAAGACGAATATTCATTTCAACTTTCAAACGCGGTAAATTATAGGACACATGGATTTGAAGACTAAAATTTCGACAGTGAGCTGTGAACATTATAACTGATAAGCTTAGCTCACAAATTCCCGTATCTGAGAATATAGCAAAATTGGTCAAACGCATGGTGAACCTATCCCTTTAAAGTTATAAGTCCGTTGCATTGTTCAGCTTTTTCTTTTGTTCAAGACTACATTTTACAATGCACTTGAAGGTATCCTTTGGTCATTAGCCGAAGTAATGATTTTGTCGCTGTGTCAATAATATAGAGAGCGATTGGAAGATGAGCGATAGGTTTTAATTACCGATAATATTGATAACATTAGTAAAAAAAAATAGTGAAACGACCATGTGAAAGGAAACAGCAAATAAGGGAAATCTAGTTCAAGACCTGAACAAATAAGGCAGGGGTAGATATGAATTTTTTTTATTGATATGTCATGAAAGTGTGGGCCGAAGTCACAGTGTAAACAAAACAGATATATACGTAATCGATGGGAGTAAAAATTATCTTTCAGCGCCTTTTATTTTGGCCCATTGATGTTATTGACTAAATTCATTGATGGAAATTTGGCTTAAAAAGAAGTTCGTCACGATTTCAGACTTTCACGAACTTCGTCTTATACCTTGTCATAATTAGCCACATTTTTGTTATCATCTAAAATTGTAAATGATTTTATTGGATAGTGCGCGTGCGAATTTAGACAATTATAGCACCCGATTGTACGCACAGTATTTCTATCGAGGGCTCTGATTGGCTGTATTCGTTTGAGTACAATCCGATCAAAACGCTGCATTTTGTAACTTCCGTGATACAAAGACGGTGGTTATTTCAGTCAAGGTATTAGACGCAGTAAGTACTATCTTGACATTGTGAAGATGACTCTGGAATTGTACAAGATTATATGATATGTCAATGAAACATTGGGTCATGATATTTGATTTCTTCCATATTCTAATCAATTTTGTTAATTAAATTCAACTAAGTAAAAATGTAAATAATCAATAGTAGTTCTCATACCTTTATGAAAAAATTCTTCGTTTCTTGTTGTAAATCAGTAGCATTTACAGCTTCTGTTATATTTAAGGTCCCCACTTTTTTTAATATTTCTTTTACTGATAAAGGTAATCCCTGGAAAAAGACAAAAATATAAGAAAATCAAAATATCATATCGATGGCAGACTAGCAATCAGCAATGGAGACTACCAAGGAACTTAGTCCATAGTTATCCCATCAACCATCCAAAATCATTTTACAGGAAGTCAACTTTGTGTGTGGTTGCCAAAGACTCATTCAGTCAGTGGACAAAACGGCACACAAAGTACAAATTGCAGGATAGACAATCTGATGTACGTGGCAGATACTTAGGGGAAAGATATGCCCTGAATGCTGTCCAAAAGTCAGGGTATTCCGACTATTTCGATTTTGAACCCCCTCATGTTCAGTCAGGCCAGTTCACTCACTATGTTCATACGCCCGAAAGTCAAATTTGGAAAGTTAACCACCAAATTTTCAGCTGCCAATTGACAAGATGAGGACTACGAGTCGCCAGTTCTAGTCAATTTTCACGGAAATGGATAAAATAAAGATATGAAATATTCAACTTTCAGTCATACACTTCTTTTCAACTCTTTAGCGCAATACTGAATAATACTGAGTATGAGTTATTGCCCTTGTTCTTGAAAACGTGTTCAATCTTCAGCGCGGGACTGAATAATAAAACCAAGTTTTGTCAAAATCCAGCAAGAATCATGCCTTTTAGTGTTTAAGAGCAAAATTTGAAAGCGTTTTCAAGAACAAGTGCAATAACTCAAACTAAATATTCTTCAATTCTTCTGATTTTCAATAGGGTTCATCCTTGGGTGATTACGAAGATTCACACCCAGTTTCATCAAAATCTGTCAAGAATTATGCCTTCTAAAGTGATTACGAGCTAAAAATTGAACGCATTTTCAATAGCAATAACTCATACTAATTATTTTTCGATTTTTCTGATTTTCAATATGGTTTATCCTTTGGTGATAACAAACACTCATGCCAAGTTTCATCAAAATCCGTCAAGAATTGTCCCTTCTAGAGTGTTTACAAGTTAAAAATGGAACGCGTTTTCAAGAACAAGGGCAATAACTCATACTCAAATATTTTTCGATTTTTCTGATTTTCAATAGGATTCATCCTTGGGTGATTGCGAACACTCATACCAAGTTTTGTCAAAATCCGTCAAGAATTGTGTCTTGTAGAGTGTTTACGAGCAATTGTGGACGGACGGACGGACATGGGTGACGGCAATATACGCCCACATTTCATGTGGGCGTATAAAAAGTAAAATAGCCAGACATCAACGGCACATAGTCGAATTGGACATTTATTTTAGGACATCCACAGAAACCACGAACCCACGAAACCTTTACAATGTCAAGCTATTACGAATTGCTTCTTATACCTTGACTGCTGTGGCCACCTTTGCCAATGCAGTGATTTGATTGGATTGTACACAAGCGAATACAGCCGATAGAAGTCCTCGACAGAAAGGCGGTAAACAATAAGCCGTAATGTCATTTTGTCCACGGCTTTGAATGGCTGTATTCGGTGGCGTACAATCCAATCAAATGGCTGCATTTCGTGAAAGTGGGCTATAGCAGTCAATGTATCAGACGAAGTTCGTAATAGCTTGATACTCTGAACATACCTTTAACATATCATGTATAAAGATGTACTTTGAAGGTGGATAAATAACAACAGCTACATTATCTAAATCATTAACGCAACTTTCTAGATGAGATTTGGTTTCATTAGGTAATATTATTAACCACTGTGAAATCATACTGAATGATGCTGTTTTCCAATTTCTTACTCGGTCTAAATTATCAGCCTGAAATTTGAAATCATTTATCAAGTCAAACATTCTTGGTATAAAATGCATAGCAAGGTAGATGATTATCCAACTAGTAGAAATTTGGAGAACCTAACAGGCGGGTTGGTTGGTAGGATTCTAGTAAGAATCTAGCTCCAAGGCCCAGGGTAGGATAGTGGTAACCAATATACAAATTTGAGAAAATAGAAAAACAATGATCTGAAAATATCGTACGCAAATAAACGTTTCTTCCGTTGTTCTGCACATTCCCTGGCTTTATATTGAAGATATGCGGTCTTTTCTATTCAATTTGAAAAAACTTCCTGCAAATAAAGTTCATCTTCACCATATGAAGGAAACAGAACTCCGTCTTATATCTTGATATCATGGAACATTTATCTTGTAGCACAGAAAGTTTGTAAATGCAGTGATTAGATTGGATTCTTTCTGGCAAGGGCTCTGATGAGGCTTGTCTAATGATGTCAAGGTGTAAGACGAAGTTCGTAATATCTTGACATTGTGAAGATGCATAAATTCATTATTTAAAACTTGCTCTAGGCTTACATACCACTGCTAAAATCCATTTAGTAGTATTAATAGAACTCAATACAATAAATTGGGCAGTTCTTGTATCTAATATACAATTTGTTGTTAAAATTTCCTGCAATTGGGTTTCATTATCAAAACTGTCCAAATCATACATAAATATATCAATACTGGCTTTCGATAATAAATCTGTTAGTAACATAGCTTCTTGTACTGAAAATATAGAGTAATTTGAGATTTGCACTCAATTGTGGCAGTGGCGGAGCCACAAAATATTCTAAGGGGACTGGGAGGGGAATTAAAAGTGGGTGCGGGGCAAAGCCGGGCTTGTCCATTTTCTGGGGGGTTTTGCATGCCACTGTCACTAATCCAATAGAATACATTTTTAAACAGACACCATTTGACCAATCGTATCTTAGACTCAGAAACTAGAATGCTTTTTTTAGATAAGCTAATCAGTAATGTTGCGTTGGGAAATTAAAATGAGACATTATACATCAAACTTCTTGATAAAACTTCTTTCAATGGAAATAATTCATTCATACTTACTGGTGTTTTCTTCATAAAATAGAAAAATATTCTCCCACTGAAGACTTTTAACAATAGCAAATATAGTTTCTGCTCTTGATATGCTTACTTCCGGTTCCTGAATTACG